TAAAAAAAAAAAAAAATCAACTCAAGATGAATCAAGAACTTAAATCTAAGACCTAAAACTAAAAATTCTAGAAGATAACATCAGAAAAAAAAAAAACCTTTTAGACATTTGCTTAGGCAAGGATATCATGACCAAGAACCCAAAGCAAATGCGATAAAAACAAAGATAAATAGCTGGGATTTAATTAAACTAAAGAGCTTTTCATGGCAAAAGGAACAGTCAGCAGAGTAAACAGAACACCAACAGAGTGGAGAAAATCTTCACAATCTATACATCTGACACAGGACCAATATCCAGAATCTACAATAAACTCAAACAAATTAGCAAGACAAAAACTAACAATCCCATCAAGAAGCGGGCTAAGGACTTGAATAGACAATTTTCAAATGAAGATATACAAATGGCCAACATATGAAAAAATGCTAAGCTATGAGGATGCAAATACATAAGAATGACACAACGGACTTTGGGGACTCGGGTAAACAGAAGGGGTGAGGGATAAAAGACTACAAATAGGGTGCAGTGTATACTGCTTGGGTGATGGGTCCACCAAAATCTCACAAATCACCGCTTAAAGAACTTACTCATGTAACCAAACACCATCTGTTCCCCAATAACCTATGCAAAAAAAAAATTTTAATGACAAAAAAAAGTCATAATCTTGTAAGAAAGTTACGAATTTGTGTTGGGCCACATTCAAAACCATCCTGGGCCACAGGTTGGACAAGCTTGGTTTAGAGTTTTGGCATACCATAATTGTATTAACTAATTTACAAACATGATCCTGGCATCTGAATTTGGAACTCTCAGATAAATTCCTGTTACATGTGGTAGTAAGGCTAGTGGAAACCTTGATTAATCTAGTATTCTCAGTATCAAATAACAGAATTGTATAACCAAACCATTCATGGACACAAAAATATGTCCACAGGAAGATGCATCCCAGCTTCTTAGAAACATCTGAATTTAGGAGCCAGAACTATTTAAATGCTATAATAAACAAACTTGAAGATTTTGAGGCTCTTCTGTGAATTTTATTATATATTCCCCTTTCCCTCATGTAACCTCCCTCTTCTCCCCCATACCCCAAAAGAAGAGTTCAAATACCCATCCCCATGCAGGTTCTTTGAAAGATGAGAACTACGGCATAGTACCTTTTTAGGAAAAGGTGAGTGGGGGATGTGTAGCAGAAAACAACTTGAAATTATATAGGATTGCAACTTTATAGTTATATTACAACTTTAGGATTGTAATTCAATACTTTGACATATCTTTCCTATAATTGAGAGCATACTGCTGCTGAGCAGCAAAGAAGCCTTGATTCTTGCACTTCAATGATCAGAATTACAAAGTGTGTTAATTGCATGAGTTCCAGGTCAGAGCTCTTATTTTCGAACTTAACCAACATTAAAGTAGGTATCATTACTTTTGAGCAGCAGCTCTTCAAGTTTGTTTCATCAAATTACAATTCCAAGAAATCTTCCACAAAGAAAGAGTTGCATAGGTAGATTAATTATGGAAATAATAAATCCTTTTTTCTTTGCCTTTGAGATTCACAGCACACATTAATATATTCTAAAGAAACCTCTTTAACTTTATTTAAATCCACTGAGTCCAAAACTGTTTGACCGTGGATCCTTTTTGGAGGTGGCATCTGTTATTATATTGGACATACTTTGGAAAATGCTGTTCTGGAAATAAGTTTTTAAAATAGTTAAAACACCAGTTTCAAATGTATTACATTCCTATGGATCCTTTGCCAGCTGTGTGAATCACAGCTCTTTGAAGATCATACCCCTCCCTGAATTCTGTCTTAGAGTTCAACCCTTAAAAGTTTGCACTGACTCACAAGGTTTCATGCTGCTTAGTCATCTCAGCCCTTTGCAGTGTATTTCTGTGCTGATGCCATTAGGTCAAGTCACACCTTTCTTTCAAAGGGTGCCCTAGTCTAGGACTACTGACCAGCTAGCTGGATCTTCCAATTATAGACATCAAAAACGTAAAGAGAAATATAGGTTGCCTTTATACCAGGAATATAAAAACTCCCTATCAAAGCCAGCACTTTTCTTTACTCTTTAAGAGTAGCGCATTCTTTATCAGTTACCATGCTAAAAACTTGTTTAAACAAATGTATTTAGTCATTTGCTCACTTACCCAACAAATATTTTTTTAAATCCCATACTGAAAAGGCTTTGATGATACAATTTGAAAAAGAAAAATTTTTTTTTAAAATGGCTCACCACCTCGTTGGCTATACCAACCTGCAATCTTATAAATTATCTCAAATCCAAGCGTATCTGAAAATATTCTGTTGTGATCAACGTGATACTTTTCAACAGTCTTAAGCTGGGTTGATTACACTAATCAAGGGAAATACTAAATGCTAAATAGGTGAAATTGTTAGCATGGATAATTTGCCTTGGTTTTATATAAACCAAAATTTAGCTTTCTATATATAACTATAAAATAAAACATTGTTTCAAACTTTATAAATTATCTCCAGAATTTTTAAGAACAAAGACCCAGTTATCGGCCAAACTGCCTGGGTTTGAGCCATGGCTTTACCACTTATTATCTGAACTTGGGCAACTTTAATGACTTAATCTGAACTTCAATTCCTTCATCTATATGAACTGGAGATGATATCTAGCTAATGGGATTTTCTGCAGGATAAAAATTTGCTAATATTTATAAGCTACTCAGTACAATGTCCAGCATATAGTTATTGCTCCATAAAGGGTTGCTGTCAATATTATTCTGTCACGTGACAAATACAATGTTTTATCTATTTTTTACCCTGTATTCTATAAGGCAAAGTGATTCCATAGAATAGCTATTCAATAAACATTTGCTGAAGTAGTTGGCGAGAGGGCAGGAACTTTAAAAAGGAAATAGGTGTCTGTTCTGGAAAAGTGAGATGAAAAGAAGCTATGCCTGGGCCAGAGAGAGGGCACTGTTCATTTCTGATGTACAAATTTCCTTAGTTCATTCCCTACTCTTCCTTCTGCTTCACTTATCTTTTAAGGGTGATTAGAAACAGAGGACAAAATGACAATTTAAGGCCTTTCCCTAAGTGATTGCATATGTATCTGTTCATCTCTTGTGGTCTTCTTTACTCAAGCTCTTTTGTGATTTTATGCAATTTTTTACTAAGAATTCTATATCTGTTTCAAAAGTAAACTTTTGCTGAGTAAACAGTAAGTTAAGGAGGTTAGAAAAAGCTTTCTAAAACAGATGGATAGGAGAAGATGTATTAGATGCCAGAACACAGTTACCATAAAAACTTAGTTCTTGGACTCTTGATTTAGCATGTTTGATCACTAAACAAGTTTGGGCTCAAAGCAAAGATATTGTGGAAAAATAGTTTCCACAAAAAAATTGTTATGAAATGGAAGCATAAAGGAAACCTTTTAAAAATATTTCTAACTACAACATATATCATTGAAGCTGACTCAGAAGCTGCTTTTTAAAATATCCAGACAATTCAAATTATTAAAAATAGTGAAAATAGGCCGGGTGCGGTGGCTCAAGCCTGTAATCCCAGCACTGTGGGAGGCCGAGGTGGGTGGATCACGAGGTCAAGAGATCGAGACCATCCTGGTCAACATGGTGAAACCCCGTCTCTACTAAAAATACAAAAAATTAGCTGGGCATGGTGGCGCGTGCCTGTAATCCCAGCGACTCAGGAGGCTGAGGCAGGAGAATTGCCTGTACCCGGGAGGCGGAGGTTACGGTGAGCCGAGATTGCGCCATTGCACTCCAGCCTGGGTAACAAGAGCGAAACTCCGTCTCAAAAAAAAAAAAAAAAAAAAAATAGTGAAAATAGCAGAGAAAATTACTTTTAAAATATTCTATAATTGAGACCTCCCACTAAATCAGATTTAGTGCAAGAGTTCTAAGACAACAGAACCCTCAGTGGAATGAGGACCAAAATAAGTACTAGAAATAAAGGTGAACATTGTTTTTTTTTTTCATCTTACTATTGCCAGATATATGTGTTTTTTGTGTAATAGCTTTGTAATTATTACAGAAATCTATGAGATATATACTTATATCATTTCAATGACATTGATGATATTACTGAGATAAGAGAGCAAATTATTATTTGCTCAGTCAGTAGGATTTACTGAAGCCAGAGCTTGCTGCCTCCTCTGCCATGGAGAGAAGACAGAGCTTTAAGCACCATGAGAAATGAAGGCAGATGGAGAATTTTTTCTGCTCAGTCCTTTTGCATGTAATTCAGTTTTTTAATTTGTAAGGTCAAATCAAGGGGTAAGAAGTACTTAATAATTTTTTTTTAATAAAAGCTTTACCTGGAACATCTCCAGAACAACTACCTGGCACTATCATGAAAATTTAAAAATAACCTTTTTTTTTTTTTTTAACAGGCAGGGTCTCACTCTGTTGTCGCCCAGTGGTGTGATTATATTTCCCTGCAGCCTTGAGCTCCCTGGCTCAAGCAGTCTCCCACCTCAGCACCCTGAGTAGCTGGGACTGTAGATGTGTGACACCATACTTGTCTAATTTTTTTTTATTTTTGTAGAGGTGGGGTCTTGCTATGTTGCCAGGCTGGTCTCAAGTGATCCTCCTTTAACCTTCCAAAGCACTAGGAGTAAGTCCTGAGTCACTGTGCCCAGCCGAGATCTTTTTTAAATTCCAAGTTTTATTCTTGTTTGGCAGTCCTAAGGTAAGTCAGCATTTGAGGCAATGGTACTTTTACTTATTTGGCTTTGGTAGCTCCTAAGCCTCCTGTTTTTTTTAATATGAACTACAGTGGTCTTTTCTACTTAGATAATTTAAGTTGTCATCTTTTGATGAATTTATTTAAAGCTAAAAGCTTTTTCCTTTTCTTCTGTGGAGGGGAAAAAACGGTGATTAAATCAAATGATTCATACAGGACACTGTCGCAAAACCACTCAACAATGAGTTGACTGATTTTAATGCATGTTCTTTATGTTTAAAATTAAAGTTTATAATTCTGTGATATTTATTTATTGTAGGATGTAATTAAAACCATTGTGCAGAGTGGTGGCATCAAGCATCTAGTTACCATGGCAACTAGTGAACATGTAATAATGCAGAATGAAGCCCTTGTTGCTTTGGCATTAATAGCAGCTTTAGAATTGGGTAAGTACCCCAGTGACAAACTTATTTTCTTCTATTTTTATCTTGGATGAAAGGAAGCATAGAAATGGAGTTGAAGTCAAACATAACTTGACTGAAAGCATTTTGCTAGTGTGTCTGTACCATTCTCTGAATCTATGGAAAATCATTCTATATAGGTTGTTACAGCTGTCCCCTTTGGTTGTGTTTTTGGTAACGTTTTTAGGGCAATGCATTAAGGTAAGTTTAACTTTTAAATAGTATTTCAAGTTACAGCCAGTTAGAGCATAGAGAAAACATTTTCAGCAGGCTTCACAGAGAAACCAAACAATATTTAGAATTTGGCAGCACATGAAGAGTCTGCTACTCTCCCAGTGACCTGGACTTTCTTTTCCATCTCTGCTGGTTCTATCTACTACTAATTCTTGCTGTTCTCCATATGCATCTCAGTCACTGTGATTTCTGTTGCTTGGTAGCATTGCCTTACTCCTGTGTGTTTTACATTCAGAACTCCCCCAAAGCAGAGGCTAAATAATTCAATTAGTTTCAGTCTAACATAGCATTTCTTTCTTTGTTTTTTTTGAGGAGTCTTACTCTGTTGCCCAGGCTGCAGTGCAATGGCACAATCTCAGCTCACTGCATCCTCTGCCTCCTGGGTTCAAGCAATTCTTGTGCCTCAGCCTCCCGAGTAGCTGGGATTACAGATGCCTGCCACCACACCTGGCTAATTTTTGTATTTTTAGTGGAGACAGGGTTTCACCATGTTGTCCAGGCTGGTCTTGAACCCCTGACATCAAGTGATCCATCCAAATTGCTGGGATTACAGATGTGATCCACCATGCCCAACCCTAACATAGCATTTCTAATGAGCAGAATTATTCATGAGAAGCTAATTCGTAGGCATTTAGTTTATGAATAGCATAAACTAGATGGCTTAGGAGCCAACCCAAGACAGTCAGGGATAGTGTAACAGAGTCACATGTCCTGTGGTTAAGGCCTAAGGCTGCTTTACACAAAGGAGGACTTTACACTTAGTAGGGATGTCCTATCCAATTCAAAGCCATTTGGGTAAATACTGTTAACTGATAGCCTCTTAATTCCCACTGATGACTTATATCCATAATTCTCACACTGGGACAAATAGACCCTCCAACTTGATTCCAGAAAGAGGAAACACTAATGTGTATTTTTTTTTATGTGCATAGAGTGTGTAATGATCAAGTCAAGGTGTATAGGATATCTGTCTCCTTGAATAGTCTATTGTTAACTGGAAGCCTTACCGATAACAATCAGTGAACACATTTTATATATTATATACTATATTTTTATAATAAAGCCAGAGAAAAGAAAATGTTATTAAGAAAATCATAGGGAAGAGAAAATATATTTACTATTCATTAAGTAGAAGTGGATTATCAAGAAGGTCTTCATCCTTGTCTTCCCATTGAGTGGGCTGAGGAAGGAGAAGAACAGAGGGGCTAATCTTGCTTTCTCAGGGATGGCAGAAGAGAAGAAATTCCAAGTATAAGTGGACCCCACAGTTCATACTTGATATTGTTCAAGGGTCAACTGTATATTTTTTGGTGAAATGCCAATTTTTGTCTTTTACCCATTTTCTTTTTTTTTACTATTGAGTTTTGAGAATGCTTTATATATTCTAAAAGCTTTATAGTTCTATATTTTACATTTGAGTCTATAATCCATTTTGAGTTAATACTGGTATAAGGTATGAGGTTTAGGTTAGGTTCATTTCCTTTGTCCTATGGATGTCTACTTGTACCAGCACCTTTTGTTTAAAAGCTGTCTTTCTTCCACTGAATTGATTTTATACCAGCATCAAAGTCAGTTGATCATATATGTGTGAGTCTGTTTCGTGGTCTTCTATTCAGTGCCTTTGATATAAGTGTCTATGTCACCACCAGTAATACCTTGCTACCTTTATTACTGGAGTTATAGAATAAGCCTTAATACTGGGTAGAGGAATTCCTCATACTTTATTCTTCTTTATCAAGATTGTTTTAGCTATTTTAGGGCCTGTGGCTTTCATTATAAGTTTTAGTATAAGTTTGTCTATTTTCTACAGAAAATCTTGTTAGGATTTTGATTGAAATTGCGTTGAGTCCTTATCTTTCATTTGTGGAGGAAATTATGTGATTTATCAGATTTACTCAAAAATAATTTGAGATGAGTAAGAGTAGGTGAATGAGACAGATTGGCCATGATAATTCTTTAAGATGATAAGTACATAATGTATATTATTATACCATCTGTTCTGATTTTGTATATGTTTAACATTAACCATAATAAAAAGTTTTAACTGACTTATAGTAAAAGAAATGTGTTAGTATTAAATATTAAGCTTAAACACCTGAAATGTCTACTAAAATCTACTTCTATTTACTTTTTCCACGTGGTCTGAATTTAATGTTATTTATCTAGGTCATTATTATTTATCAGTTCCATTTGGAAGTTTTCATATGATCAGTTTCTGGAGAAGGAAGAACTGTTCATGCTGAGGGTACTGGGTTCATACACCGTAGATATACGTTTTTTTATTTTGTAGGCACTGCTGAGAAAGATCTAGAAAGTGCTAAACTTGTACAGATTTTACACAGACTGCTAGCAGATGAGAGAAGTGCTCCTGAAATCAAATATAATTCTATGGTCCTGATATGTGCTCTTATGGGATCTGGTAAGTATTTCTTCTATCGTTTGATGTCCATAAGTATACAGTTCACATTAAATATAGAGTAATAGTGAATGATGGCTTTAGGTTTTAAAACCAGTAGAAATTAGTTTATGGAGGTTATAAGATTACTTTTTTCCCATTAATGTAAGCACTTAACCGTTTCTTTATGGTGATAACATTGAAAATCTTCTCTTCTCGTCTTGAAATATATACTACATTGGTATTTTCTAGCCACACAACTGTATAAATTACTTTTCACTGAAGATATTCCCAAAAGATTCTTACTACAATAGAAAGTATCACATAGCGAATATAGATGACATTCAGTATTGCAAAATCAATGTCTCATGAACTCTAAAATGTTATTTTATAGTAGGCATAGGTTCTGATTTTGTATGCCATATTAACTAAGGAATTTGTTTAGTGGACCAGGCAGGGTGGCTCATGGCAGTAATCCCAGCACTTTGGGAGGCTGAGGTGGGCAGATCCTTTGAGGCCAGGAGTTCGATACCAGCCTGGCCAACATACTGAAACCCTGTCTCTACCAAAAATACAAAAATTAGCCAAGAGTGGTGGCACACACCTGTATTTTGATTCTGTTGGTACTGGTGTTGAATTTCCTATATTCTTGCTGGTTTTCCAGCTAATTGTTCTGTCAGTTGTCAAGAGGAGGAGTGTTGAAGTCTCCTGCTATAATTACCTATTTCTCCTTTCAGTTCTGCCAATTTTTGCTTAACGTAATTTTCAGCTCTGTTGTTAGGTACCTACATTTTGAGGATTGCTGTGCTTTCTTGAGGGATTGACCCTTTTATCATATAATGTTCCTCTCTCTGGTATTTTTCTTTGCTCTCATCAACTTTATCTGACTTTAACATAGCTACTCCTGCTTTTTTTATTACTATTTTCTTTCATGTCCCACTACAAGAAGCCATCCTGCTTTATTTTGAATAATATCCACATGACCTTTTCCCACTCTTTTAGTTTCATTCTGCTGTATTATATTTGTAGTGAGTTTCTTATATACAGCACATAGTTGTGTCACATTTTCTAATCCACTCTGCCAGTCCCTTTTAATTTGTGTATTTAGACCATTTACGTTTAATGGGATGACTGATGTGGCTTAAGTCTGCAATCTTATTTTTGTTTTCTGTTTGTCCCATTTCTTATTTCTGACTTCCTATGGGTTATTTGAACATTTTTTAGTCATTTACTCTTCCTCACGTATATCTTTTTTTCTTTTTTTTGGAGACAGAATCTTGCTTTGTCACCCAGGCTGGAATGCAGTCGCACAATCTTGGTTCACTGCAACCTCTGCCTCCCAAGTTCAAGCGATTCTTGTGCCTCAGTTTCCTGAGTAGCTAGGATTACAGATGCCTGCCAGCACACCTGGCTAATTTTTGTATTTTTAGTAGAAACAGCGTTTCGCCTATTCCCCAGGCTGGTCTTGAACTTGACCTCAGGTGATTCCCCCCACCTTGGCCTCCCAAAGTACTGGAATTACAGGTGTGAGCCATCACACTCAGACTCTCATGTATATATCATTCTTAAATATTTCTTCTACATATATTTAGAATCACATTAGACAGTGTTACAACTTTTCTTTCAACCACCAGACATATTTCAGAAAACTCTTTGAAAAGAAGGGAAGTCTATATTTACTCACATTTTTAGATTTCTTATTTTGTTGTAATAATTCCCTTTCTGTTTAGAGAACTTCTTCTAGCGATACTTTTAACTCAGGTCTGCTAGCAACAAATTTTTACCAAATGTTTTTTTCATTTGTAATGAAAGGGAAGTGACGTTCTCAAGTAAGAGAAAATGGTTATAGGATTCTGGGTTCACAGTTCTTTTCTTTCTGTACTTGAAAACTATCATGCCATTTTCTTCTAGCCTCCATGGTTTCTGATGAGAAATCCAGTGTTCCTATTTGTTTTTTTCCCCTGTAGGTAAGGTGTCATTTCTGTCTCTCAAAACTTTTTTCTTTGCGTTTAGTATTCAGAAATTTAACTATGATGTGTCTTGGTGTGAACTTCTTTGGGTTTATCCTGTTTGAGTTTGCTCAGCTTCTTGAATTGGTAGGTTTATGTCTTTTGCTAAATTTGGGATGTTGTGACTGTTAGTTCTTCACGTACTTTTCAGCCCCATTAGGGTCTTTCCAGACCTCTGATGACACTAATGTGAGATCTTTAATTATAGTCCTACAGGTCCCTGAGGTTTTATTCTTTTTTACCCCCAGATTATTTTCTCTTTGTTATGCAGACTTGAGTAATTTCTATTGTTTTATCTTGGAAGTTCTCAGATTATTTCCTTTGCCCTCTCTGTTGTGATGTTGAACCTATTTTTATTTCAGTTATATATTATAATATAAAAATTTCCATTTGCTTCTTTGTATCTGGAGATGGATGCTGATGATTGCACAGCAGTGTGAATCTCCCTAATGCCATTAAACTGTATAATTTTTACCCCGCCCACAGCCTCTGGCAATAACCATTTATTTTATGTCTCCATCAGTTTGACTACTGTAGGCACCACATATTTATGTAACAATAAACTTTTGTCCTTTTCTGTCTAGCTTATTTCACTTAGGTCTTTAAGGCTCATCTGTGTTGTAGCACATGTCAGAATTTCATTTCTTTTTAAAGCTGAATAATTTTTCATCATATGTGTTTATCACATTTTGTTTATCCATTCATCAATTCATGAACATTTGGGTCATTTCTGGCTTTTGTAAATAATGCTGCTGCTGTGAACATTAATATACAAATATCTCTGAGTTTCTGTTTTAATTATTTTTGGTATATACTCAGAAGTGGAATTACTAGATCATATGGTCATTCAGTATTTAATTTTTTAATTAAATACTGTTTTTACTAATTAAATACTGTCATACACTTTTCCATAGTGGCTGGACCACGGTACATTTTCACCAACAGTACACATGAATTATAATTTCTTAACATCCTCACCAATGTTTGCTGTGTTTTAATAATGGCCAAACTAATTAGAGTGTGAGGTGGCATATTACTGTGTTTTTTATTTGCATCTCCTTAATGATTAATGATGGGAATCTTTTTTTTTTTTGAGACGGAGTTTCGCTCTTGTTACCCAGGCTGGAGTGCAATGGCGCAATCTCGGCTCACCACAACCTCCGCCTCCCGGGTTCAGGCAATTCTCCTGCCTCAGCCTCCTGAGTAGCTGGGATTACAGGCACGCACCACCATGCCCAGCTAATTTTTTGTATTTTTAGTAGAGACGGGGTTTCACCATGTTGACCAGGATGGTCTCGATCTCTTGACCTCGTGATCCACCCGCCTCGGCCTCCCACAGTGCTGGGATTACAGGCTTGAGCCACCGCGCCCGGCTGATGGGAATCTTTTCATGTGTTGTATATTTTCTTTGGAGAAATGTCTATTCAAGTCTTTGTCCATTTTTAGAATTGAAGAGGTTTTTTTTTTTAGGCGGCGTTTTGCTCTTGTTGCCCAGGCTGTAGTACGATGGCATGATCTTGGCTCACCACAACCTCCACCTTCTGGGTTCAAGCAATTCTTCTGCCTCAGCCTCCCACATAGCTGGGATTACAGGCATGCACCACCACACCCGGCCAATTTTGTATTTTTAGTAGAGACGGTGTTTCTCCATGTTGGTCAGGCTGGTCTGGAACTCCCAACCTCAGGTGATCTGCCTGCCTCAGCTTTCCAGAGTGCTGGGATTACAGGTGTGAGCCACCGTGCCCGACCCAAGTTGTAGGAGTTCTTTATACCAGTACCACACTATTTTGGTTATTGTAGCTTTGTAGTAAGTTTTAAAATCAGTTAGTATGAGAACTTCAGCTTTGTTCTTCTTTTTCAATATTGCTGTGGAGATTTAGGATTCCTTGAGATTATATATAAATTTTAGGATGGATTTTTCTAATAGTACTAAAAACACTGGTTCATTGGTTTATGTCAGTCTTATCAAAATAAATACATCAGTTTCAGTAGTACTGATTATGTTAAGCTTATTAAACTTCACTCTTCCCATATAACAGTTCTGAGTCTTAACAGGAATCCTACATTTTTCTTATAATTGAAGTTAAATAGAGAAAGCAAGTCAGGAAGAAGAGGATAAAAATCTAAAAGGGAGTCCAGTGTCACAGAAATTTGTTGAAGGATATGAAGTATAAATTTTTCTTTTGCCACAAAATTAATCTGAAACATATCATAAGGTTTTTGATAAGTCATTGGACTTCATATTTGAAATGGTGATAGGGTTATATGTAACCAAACCTTGAGATCATACAATGAGCTATGTTTAATTATAACTCATTGTAAGCAGTCTTACACTGTAGAACTTGACATCTCCTTTTTCTTTTTAAAAGTTGGGCAAGTAGCTGGGCAGTGGCTCATGACTGTCATATCAGCTACTGGGGAGACTGAGCTGGATGGATCCCTTGAGGCCAGGAGTTTTGAGGCTGCAGTGAGCTGTGATCATGCCACTGTGCTCAAACCTGGGCAACAGAGCAAGGCCCCATCTTAAAAAAAGTTTTTAAAATTTGTTTTTAATTTCTTAAAAAAGTAAAGTTTTTATTTTTAGTTATAATACATTCCTTAAAAAGACATTGCTAGGCTACTGCTACGTCTTTTTCCAGAATTGTTCCTAGTTTTATAGCTTAGTCTTGTCAAAATAAGCATTTTGGGTATATGTTTTGAATACATTGTATAATAATATCAAAGCAACCTAACAGAATCATATCTGTTATTTTTTTGTCTTCCAGAATCTCTACATAAGGAAGTGCAGGATTTGGCCTTTCTAGATGTTGTATCCAAACTTCGCAGTCATGAGAACAAAAGTGTTGCCCAGCAGGCCTCTCTCACAGAGCAGAGACTTACTGTGGAAAGCTGAGAACTGCCCGATACATGGCATCATCCCATCTCTGATTTCCCCTCCGTCCTCCATCCAGCTGCCTCTTCCACTTCATTCTCTACCATACCACTTGTGCATGCATGTAATGTTCTAATACCAGTTGAAGAACTGCTGTAGGTACTTGCCTAATAAGATTTCTTAACCCATAGTTAGTGTGAACATGACTTTGTCAAAGGCAAGTCTCCACCCATAACTGTTCTCTCGTATTCCTGTTGCTTGAGCTACATTAAGTAGAATGTGCATGTTGTAGTCCTATGATGACGTAAACTTGGTACTACATAATGACTTGCTCCACACATGCAGTAAACTACATAATGATGTACTGGTAAACTAGAAACAATGCAGCAGGATCTGTCTAGTTATTAAAGATGAAACTGAATAGGAAAAGTAGCTCCATTTTTTGGTGCTTGGGAAGCACAGTGAACAAAAAAAGCTGTATGGCTGCTTATTCATTAGTCTTTCCTACTAATGTCAAACCGACGGTACCTAGAGTTAAATAAAATTCCAGTGCTCTTACTCTTTAACCTATGGTTTCTCTTTTTTCCTTTGTAGACTATTGAAACTGCCACCACAAACTTGGCAAGACTTTCTGAGGTTTCTGATTCCGTATTTAATTGACTGTCATCAATAGCCCGATATTGAAAAACATTTGTAGTTTTCAGTGTGAAACTAAGGGTTTGAAGAATTGCTATTACAATCCCTATTATAAAGCATTTGTGTTTTGCCAGTATTTTAATTTCTGATACATATGCTGTTTCACCCAGGAACTACTTCTACCAGTTAATCAACATTGTCCAGCACTTGTCTGTAAAACTCATTTGGCATTTGTTTTCAACTGAGTAAACTGAGTATATAGTTCATTGAAGAACGGATTTTTTTTTTTTTTTTTTTTTTTGCTGATTTTCATTATTCAGCTAGAAAGTGAGAAGTTTTATCTCCCATAGTCCTTTTAAATCTTATGTTAACAACACTTGCAGGACATAGAAGGAAAGATGAAGAAATAAGTTTGTCAGGACTAAAGAAAGGAAGGCAGGTTATAAAAGCCATTGTAGCCAGTCCAGTTCATTCTGCAGATGGCCTCATACCAATCGCTGTTAGAGCTTCCCACCTCCACTTTCCCACTGAGAACTGCAGCAATTTTAAAGGATATGAGAAAGCCAAGATTCAACAGATGAGAAGAGCCCCCTTGGCGAAATATAGTGTACTTTTCACTGCCACTGCCACCACCAAATGGGTTTTTAGAGCTTTGAAACATAATCTTTGTAAATTAATCAAAACCTCCCTGTGACCCACCTGCCTTTCTCCCCATACCCAAATTTGACTACTACTGCCCTAAGAGGCAAGATGGACTTTAATATAGAAGGACTGCAGGACAGTAGAAAGGGCTGCCACAGAGGTGACAGGAGCTCCTTCCTCTTTAACATGAGATGCTACACATCTCTGTGGGTAATCCAAGTTGGACTTTTGACTCTAAAACACCTATAATTCAAGTAAGTTAAAATCCTGATGGAGAAAAATTAAAAATAAAAAAATAAAAACGAAAAAATCCTAATGGAGGTAAAGAATCTTGACTTATGTTCTGCTACACTTACTATAAGAATGATATTATTTGTTGTCTTTCTCCTGTGCTGGATAGTGGACTATATTTTATTATAGGCTTTGAAAGACTAATGTTGCATAACTGTTCATATTAACTTAATAAATAGTATAAGAAGCTATAATGGCATCATTTGGTTTGTTTGTATATTTTGTCTATATTTCCAACTCCTAGAATAGGGCTTGCTATTGATGCTCAACAAATATTTGTTGACTGAATGAATCCTATATCCATGAAGTTTCCAGACTGTCTGAACTAATTCCAGAAAGACAGACTGACTCATAGAGAGTTTGAGATTTGATAGTTTGTCTGACTTTAGGGAAAAAATTTTAACAAAAGCATCCTAAAATCATAGATGTGAGAGAAGTTACCCATCTGGGCCAGCTGCCAGCCATCAATTTGCTAATATGTTAGGAACTCCCATCTCCAGCAAAATAAAGTGCAGTTCAAATTACTGATCATTCTACAGAGAGACCAGAAGGCTGTCCCCTTATCACAGGGACCACCAAATTAGATGACACACTGATGTGCCATTGCAGTGGATGGAAGAGTCTATAGACTGTACCATCCCATATCTCCTGCCACCTAATCTTAGTTGTAGAGGCCACTGTTAAATTTGTTTGCTACCCACTAAGAGTACATTCTAAGGGAGACGATAGGAGGAATAGCACAACAAAGCCTTAACTGTCATTTTGAGCCATAGAAGAAAAGGCCAGGAATTCAAGCAAAGAAGATGCCTGAGTGCAATGCACTAGAATACCCCTTTCCTTCCAACCCCATTAGCAACTTGAGTCATGCTAACCACTCACCTAGACTGTAACCTCATTGTGCTCAAAGCAAACACTAGCCCATAACCCAGTGTTTTCCTCGATAAAAACATGTTTTGAGCATACTGTCTTAAGAATGGAGATATAGAAGAACACTTTTTCATCTAAAATTATTTCTTGAATAGAATGCAATTCTCATGTGCAAGCATTTAGTCTGAAGTGTTCTGAATGATGCTACATGTGAAGAATTCGAAAAAGAAATGCTCTTTGGTATAATTAGGAGGCTTATTAGTAATTCTCTTGAACATACCGGGTGAGGATATCTAGATGTTAAGACATTTACTTAGGTGAGCATAACCCTTTGTATCCAGCTGTTAACTGGAATCAGTGAACTTAAAAGACACTGTAACATTTGTATTATACAAGTGTCTATTAAAAAGCATGTAATAATATTTGGTATGAATCCTAATAGCTATAGCCAAGAAAACTGAGGTCTTTTTTACAGGTATGATCTCTAACTTTGCCTACATACATATATACAAATACATATATGCCACGTAGCTTCCTAAGAGTATGTTTTATAGGTGTGTATGATTAAAGTCTTGTATACTTTAAAAGGGTGATATAGGGCACAGAGTATGGTCTTTGGATACTGTCTAATCTGTAGTCAGATCCTGGGTCTGTTAGATATTGGCTGTGTGGCCACAGCCAAGTTACTTAAATTCTTTGGGCCCAATTTCTCATCAATATGACAAGTTTAATAATCCCAATTCCCTTAGGATTTTCATGACAATTGATTAATTTTTAGACAATCAAGATGGTAAACACAATTGTGATACCTTAAGGACGAAACTATATACTCCCCTCTTGCTGCTGCAGGATTCCCAACTTTTATTCAAAAAACAACCCCAAACAGAAAACAGTGTGCCTATTAATAGTTTATAATGTGGAAACAAATCATGCCTATCATCCCAACACTTTGGGAGGCTGAGGCGAGCAGATCACTTGAGGTCAGGAGTTCAAGACCAGCCTGGCCAACATGGTCAGGAAACCCCGTCTCTACTAAAAATACAAAAATTAACCAAGCGTCAGGATGCATACCTAGGTAATCCAGCTACTTGGGAGGCTGGGACAGGAGAATTGCTTGAACCTGGAAAGCAGAGGTTGCAAAGAGCCAAGATCATGCCACTGCACTCCAGCCTGGACAACAGAGCAAGACTCCATCACAAAATAAAATAAAACTTTTAATGAAATTGAGTTTTTTAGCTGTAGCCACAGAGACACTATCTAACAACGCTTTGAAAATGGACAATAAACATCTGTCTCCCATTAATAACACTAGACAGGAACTTAATATGATGACAATTCATTTTTATATATTGGAACCAAATTATCAAACAAAACTTAGGCCAGGTAGGTACTGCTGCCTACAGTTCTTCTGACCTTTGTTCCCTTAGTATTGTCATACTTGCCCAAAGACAAATATAGAGGCTCCCACTTTGTAAAAAAAAAAAAAAAAAAAAAAAAACCAGGGTGTTGTTATCAAAAGCACCCTCTTCTCACAAGTGGCTCTAATGGTTTCTCTAGTCTCCAGCATTATCAACCCAGCTTTCAGGGAGTAAAAATGAAGCAAGAAGGCTATCAAAGGCATTAATCAGGGATCAGGTGGCAAGTGACTTGAATTATGTACCCACTACCACCTGAAAAAGTAGAGTATTATTTATGGAACTAGTCCATGGCCCAGAGATCAGTGGTTTTGCTGGTAGGCATGTGTGCAATCTTATTTTAATCTGCTTAATTATATACAGTGATAACCCCATTCACTCTTGTGTAGACTTTATAGTGTTTAGTGCTGATCACTTACAAAGGGCACATATATAGAGAACGTTCTGTTTCAAGATTGTTTTAAAGAATTAACTAGCTAGATTTTTTTTTTTTTTTTGATCATCAAGAAACTAAAGCCTAATCCTGTCACACTTTGAAGGTCCTTAGTTTCCAGGTTTTGAATTTTTAAAAATTATATCACTTTAAAGATTTTTATTAGACTTTATCTTTAAAGTTTTGTAAGGTTTTTTTTTTTTTTTTTTTTTTTTTTTTTGAGACAGAGTCTCACTCTGTTGCCCAGGCTGTAGTGCAGTGGTGCTCACTGCAACCTTCACCTCCCAAATTCAAGTGATTTTTATGCCTCAGCCAACCAAGTAGCTGAGATGACAGGCATGCATCACATGCCCAGTTATTTATTTATTTTTTTTTTAGCAGGGTTTTTGTATTAACAGGGTTTCACCACATTGGCCAGGCTGGTTTCAAACTCCTGGCTTCAAGTGATCCACCCACCTCAGCCTCCCAAAGTGCTAGGATTACAGGCGTGAGTCACTGCGCTCAGACTAAAAAATTTTAAGTCTTAACTCAGGCTTTGAGTACATATAATTTAAATGTAATGACAGGTCTTTTAAAAAATAGATAATCTATTCAAAATTATATTTGAGAGTCGTTACTATTACAGTAGTTATTACAGCACCTCTGACCTTCACCTCCTTTCAGGGAGGTTCTACTCAACATCCCTGTGCTTAGTTCCTTTATGTCTAGCATAGGCACATCAGACAGATACTAAAACACTTACGAAGGAAGGGGTAATTGAATAGGATTCTAAGATAATGTGAAGAAATATTAACCAGAGGAGCTTTGACTTCAGACCCATCTTTGCAGGAACCCGAAATAGTTCCTAATTCCAACTAAAGCCAACTATCAGTAGTCAGTTCTGTTGCCCCACCGTCCCTTTTTAAGTTTCCAGAATGCAACCCACTCTCCACCATGCTTCTCCTACCATGACTTCCTTTTTTGCGTAGGTAAGAAAAGTGGAAGTGTTAATGAGTCATATTCTGCTCTTTTCACCCACACAGTCTTATCCCCTAGTACCCAGCAGAAGTTAGAGGAAGTAACAGCAGAGTGTCCATTTAGCTTCATCATATCCCAAAGTAATAACTATCAAGTCTTCTGCTTCCTACTCACCTACTTCTTGTCCTCTTGTTACCCTGTCACATGATTCTAAAATACAGTGACTTCCCCTAAGCCACTACAAGTGAGAACAAGATGTTCACTGACCTGAGAAAAATATCTGACAAAAATTCATTTCCTGTTAATGAGAGAACAGCCTCGCATTTGTATGTGTTATAATCTGATCTGACAGTTAGTTCATAGAAAGCATGCTTTGTTACACCTGTGCCTAACTTCTGATGCAAAGCTTCAGATGCTTTCCTATAGCAGGTGCCCAGTGTGTTTTACATGGTTGAAGCATTGTACCATGCATAGCTATATCCTTTCTTTCCCCCACTTAATAAGAATCTCACATTACTAAGAACTAATGAAGTTTTTATAAACCTCATTTTTAATAGCTGCATATTTTTTGTTCTTTGTTGTGTTCCTTTTTTGTTTTTTGTTCTTTTCTTTGAGACTGCGTCTTGCCCAGGCTGGAGTGCAGTGATGCGAGCTTGGCTCACCACAGTCGCAACCTCCTGAGTTCAAGCAATACACCTCAGCTTCCAAAAAGCTGGGACCGCAGGCATCACCCACTATGCGTTTTTTCTATTTTTGTTTTTGTTTTAATGTTCCAGAGATGAAGTTTTGCTTTGTTGTGCGGGCTAGACTTGAATTCCTGGACTCAAGTGATCCTCCCAAAGTGCTGTAATTATAGGCATGAGCCACCATACCCCCATATTCTTTAATTATATAGCTGCACCACAATTTTACTTAACCTTTTTCTGCATCTAGACATTTAAGACATATTCTGAGTTTTAAAAAACAAACCCTAAATACAAGGTTGTGTTTTCAGGTGCTAGGGTAATTCCTCAACTAAAAACTATGTGACCTGTCAGTCCCTTTATTCTCTGCCCCTAATCCTAAATCAAAGGCCCAATCCTTTCTTCCTCAGGGAACCTGATCAATATCTCAGTGTGGCAGAGCTGCCCCAGCTCTGTGCAACCCTTCCTGATGCACCCTTACTTTTCATCACCTCTTGGACACTCTACTTCAGTCAAGCCCTCCCCACTCTCCCAAGGGAACCCACAACAGTACCTCCTCCTGGGCATCCAAGCATTACATCACTTATATTCAACATCTACCACCACCCTATTATCAAATGTATCAGAGTGGGACCAGAGTGTACCAGAAGAGGTATATAGCACACCTACAAGTACCCACAGAACTGATGTTTAGCTAATTGGAGTCTAATTGCCTCTTAGCACTGCCATCAACTGCTAGCAACATATTTGCACCTCTAACCAAAACTGTGAACCACCACTCTGATCTTTTCCAAGCTGATAAACACTCTCCAGGTACCACTCACATGGAGAGGGGAGGGAAAGG